AGCAATTTCTCTGCATTCTTCTAATGGCGAACCAGAACTCTCTTCCAAATCATCTTTCCAATCCATCGAACTCATTATACCTTCATCCTAATGAGAATCTATCCATGATCCTCGTTGCTCCACCTCTCAATGGTCGTAACTACCACACCTGGCTGCGCGCCATGAAAATGGCACTGCTCTTGAAGAACACGATGTGTTTCGTAGATGGAAGCTTCATTCCACCAGATGTACATGATCCGCTTTATCCAGCTTGGGAGAGGTGCAACACTATGGTGTTGTCTTGGATCCACCGCTCGATTGATGAATCGATTTCCAAATCCATTTTATGGATCGAACGAGCTTCTGATGTATGGCGTGATCTTCGTGAGCATTTTTCACAATCTGACGTCTTCAGGATTGCAGATCTGCAAGAAGATGTTCATCGATTACAACAGGGAGATAGATCCGTGAGTGATTATTTCACGGAGATGAAGACATTATGGGATGAATTAGATAATCTCAATCCACTTCCTAACTGCTACTGTGGAGCTCTAAATGAAATAAGACGCAATAGGGAGCGAGATCAGGTGATTCATTTTCTTAAAGGTCTCAGTGACTAATTCTCTCACATACGGTCACAGGTTATGCTGATTGAACCGCTTCCAAACATGAACAAAGCATATTCACTTGTTGCACAACAGGAACATCAATTGAACTATGAAATGCATAGTGACTTTGCTGGTGAATCAAAGGCATATTCTGCTGATCAGCGTCGCATGCGTAATGGAAATTTTGGCAGAGATAATGGAAATTTTGGCAGAGGCAGGGGTGTAAGGCCTAGAGGTACCAAACTCTGTACCTATTGTGGAAGGACCAACCATACAGTAGATACATGCTACGCAAAGCATGGGTATCCACCAGGGTACAAGCCAAAGCCTAGAAACGTATCTGCTAATGTCGTTCTGAATGATGAATCAACTGTGACAGACAAAAATGATGCAGTGGTCCTTTCACAGCAACAATACAAGGACATGATGGAGATGCTTCAGCAAGCGAAGATTCAGAATGGAGAAGAGAACTCCAATGCTACTGTCAATATGGTTCATACCACATCATCCACTGCCTTTGCCACCCCCGTTAGTTCTCAAGTGTCTGGTAAGGAATCTTTTCATTGGATCCTTGACACGGGTGCAACAGATCACATATCATGTGTATCATCACACTTTATTAATTTGCATGAGATCAAACCTATTTCTATCACATTACCTAATGGTTCTAAGGTAACTGCACAACAGTCAGGTTCCATTGAATTGAGTCCAAGCTTGATTTTAACTGGTGTGCTATATGTACCAGAATTTTGTGTTAATCTGATATCAGTGGTAAAATTGGTCCAGTTTCTTGACTGTGAGCTCACCTTTCGTGATTGTACATGTTGTATTAAGCAGATCAAGTCACAGCAAGTGATTGGTACAGCTAGATTGTACAATGGGCTCTTTCTTTTGAACTCATACAACAGGAAGGATAAAGACATGAATGCTGCTGCTCGTGAATATGCTTCTGCAAATAATATTGTTACAAATAACTCTATACTATGGCATTTAAGATTAGAACATACTTCTGATTCAGTAATGAAAGTAATGTGTGCTAAGTTTCCTTTCATTCCCCAAAATAAACAATGTGCTCCCTGTAATGTATGCCACATGGCAAGACAAAAGAGACTTCCATATGATTTGAGTAATACTGTTTCTTCTAAAGCATTTGATCTTATTCATGTGGACATTTGGGGTCCATTTTCAACCACTTCCTTTACTGGTCATAGTACTTTCTGACTGTAGTAGATGACTTTTCAAAGTTTACTTGGATACTTTTGATGAAAAATAAGGGAGAAGCTCGAGACCACTTGAAAAATTTTGTGGCAATGGTTGAAAATCAGTTTGATAAACATGTCAAAATAATCAGAAGTGACAATGGTGCTGAATTTTTAATGCCTGAATTTTATTCTCACAAAGGAATCATCCATCAAACCTCTTGTGTAGAATGTCCACAACAAAATGGTGTAGTGGAGAGGAAACACCAGCATCTTCTTAACACAGCCAGGGCATTAATGTTTCAATCCAATTTGCCTCTCCAATTTTGGTCATTTGCAGTACTGCATGTTGTACATCTGATTAATAGGTTGAGCAGCCCCACATTGCAGAATAGTTCTCCTTACGAACTGCTGTATAGTATGCCTCCCATTCTGATTCACTTAAGGGTATTTGGCTGCCTTTGTTTTGCTAGCACCTTTGTATCCAACAAGAAAAAATTCAGTCCTCGTGCTAGAAAATGCATTCTTCTTGGTCACAGAGAAGGAACAAAGGGATATGTACTATATGATTTGACTTCTAGGGAGGTATTCATATCTAGAAATGTGATTTTCCATGAAAACACTTTTCCATTTTCCACGCATGTGACTGTATCTGACACCACCTCATCTGTTCATATGGCTCCTAACAATTTAGCTGATGACCCATTCCTCATTGTAAACTCAGATGTCAGACCACCTAATTCACCATCTACTTCACCAAACCTATCCTTTCACAATACTGAATGCACGACAACCTCTCTCATTTCACCTAATGAACTTAACTGTGACCTCACAGTGCCCCACCCTTACCATACTTTACAGTACCTGATACAACATCTCCATCAGCTGCCCATCCTTTCCCACAACACACACCTAACACAACACACATACCAAGAAAATCTAGCCGAACTAGACAACCTCCAACTTACCTAAAAGATTTCCATTGCTCCCTTAGCTCCCTTAGTTCCCACTCAGCATATCCTTTATCCTCAGTTTTGAGTTATGACAATTGTTCCTCTCAACATCAGACATTATGTTTCAATCTTCATTCCATAGTTGAACCTCAGTCATTCGCAGAAGCAGTGAAAGAGCAATGCTGGCGTGATGCAATGCAAGCTGAAATTTCAGCTTTAGAACAAAACAGTACATGGTCCCTCACCGATTTACCTCTTGGTAAGCATCCTATAGGATGTAAGTGGGTATATAAAGTCAAATATCATGCTGATGGAAGTGTTGAGCGTTACAAGGCCCGTCTAGTTGCAAAGGGCTATACTCAACTCGAAGGGGTAGACTTCCTGGACACATTCTCACTTTTTGCAAAAATCACAACCATTCGTACACTCCTTGGTGTTGCTGCATCGAAGGGGTGGATCTTGGAGCAGTTGGATGTTAACAATGCTTTCCTTCATGGTGATTTGAATGAGGAAATTTACATGTCTTTACCACCTGGTATTAGTTGTTCAAAGCCTAATCAGGTTTGCAAATTGCAAAAATCCTTATATGGATTAAAACAAGCTAGTAGACAATGGTATTCCAAGCTCACCTCTGCGTTGCTGTCCATTGGCTACAAGCAGTCTGAAGCGGATCACTCACTTCTGATTAAAAAGAGGCAAGATTCATTTACTGCCCTTTTGATTTATGTTGATGATGTAGTATTGGCTGGTAATGACATGCAGGAGATCATATCTGTCAAACAATTTCTTGATAGTCGATTTCACATCAAGGATTTAGGGGAACTACACTATTTCCTTGGTTTAGAAATCAGTCGTTCCAAAGAAGGCTTGGTAATGAATCAAAGGAAGTATGCTTTGGAATTAATAACTGAAGGTGGCCTTTTGGGAGCTAAGCCAGTCTCAACTCCTATGGATTCAGGGATTAAATTGGAACGAGATAAAGGAGAACCTGGCTTGGATGCTGCAAGCTACAGACGTCTAGTGGGAAGATTGTTGTACCTGACAACAACTAGACCTGATATTTGTCATGCCGTCCAACAATTAAGCCAATATGTCAGTTGTCCTACAGATCTCCATATGCAAGCTGCACTCAGAGTTCTTAAATATCTTAAGGGAACTCCTGGTTGTGGCCTTTTTTTTTCTGCTGACACTAAGCTCAAACTTAGTGCCTTTGCAGACTCCGATTGGGCAACATGTCCAGACACTAGGCGCTCCATCACTGGGTTTTGTATTTTTCTTGGTTCTTCACTAGTTGGGTGGAAATCCAAGAAGCAAAGCACAGTCTCCAGATCATCCTCCGAGGCAGAATATAGAGCATTAGCCAGTTTGACATGTGAATTGCAATGGATGAAATATCTGCTCACTGATTTGGATATTGAAATGACAAATCCAATTGCAGTATTTTGTGATAATCGTTCCGCAATCTACTTGGCACATAATCCTAGTTTCCACGAAAGATCAAAACATATAGAGATAGACTGCCACATTGTTAGGGAAAAGATTCATAGTGGTTTGATCCATCTATTGCCTGTGTCTTCAGCAGAACAACTAGCCGACTCTTTTACTAAAGCATTACCTCCTCGCAATTTCAAAGGACTTGTTGACAAGTTGGGACTTATGGATATCCATATGCCAACTTGAGGGGGGATATTGATATATGTAATATAAATCAGTTATTCTGCTGACACAGCACACACGTGTATTTTGCACTTTCTGTTAGTTTGTTAGCAATCAGTTGTAACTAACTTAGTGAAGTTTAAACGTTAGTTAGTCTTTTTGCTTAAGTATATATATATATATGTATCGAATCAGATTTTCTCGATTATTGAATAAACATTCTTTCTCATCAAACCAATCACTCTCATGAGTTCCTTGGATTCTGTTACTCTTGGCCTTTTTTCATTACGTTGTGATATTTCAGTGTTGTCAATCACAAAAGAATTTCTGGATGTTCCATTCATATCCATTTCATTTGGTGCTCTTTTATCTTGGTCTAATATTCCCCTATTTCCAGTCACAACCAAATTTCCACATGTTCCATCCATATCCATTTCCCTTAACCCTTTAGTACCCTGGTCTGGTATTTCAGCATTGCTAAGCACAAGAAAATTTGCATATGTTCCATCCATATCCATTTCAGAGGTAATATCTTCTGCTTCCATACACTGAGGCTGCGCGAAAATCTTGCACAAAGCATTGTAACGAACCAAAGACCTGTTTTTCTACAAGATTGCTTCAGGGTGGTCCTGCAAATATCATTTAGCAATGAGTTCCAATCAATAAAATTATGAGAAAGAGTAACTTAAAACGAAAGTTCCATTTCCACCTATCGGAAATGGGGAAGAGAGAGGTGGCTTAAGTTGAGAATTAACTGAAGGTCATATGAGGCAACTGCAAGAAAAGGATGTCAAATAAAGGACAAAGGAGCAGAAGAAAAACCTTAATGTATGAATCCCAAACACTATTCTGAGCAAGCATGATTTGCAGGTTTTCATCGCATGCATATCCATTATGACTGAAAAGAATGCTCATGTTGTCATGCCGTTTCATCAAGCAGAAATATTGATCTTCTAGTAACTGCTTGTCACATTGGAGCCCAAATTTAGAGCTAAATGCTTCGATCATGTGAGTCCAAGCTTCCTCATTGAATGAATTTCTAGTCTTATTCCCTCTATTTACTTGCTCAACCATAAGGTCAACAAAATAGCATTCCAATGACTCTGTCCACTCTACTGTAGAAGCAGCATCATAAACACTGGGAACATTGCAATTCCTCCGTTCACCTTTGAATTGTAAATATCCTTATTAATACATAATTAATACAATCTAAGTTTCTCTGGAAAAGACTTGGTTCCCATAAATACCTTCACATTTTAAAAGTATTGAACCTTAAAGGGGCAACAAATTAATACAATTATGTTAACCAATCTACCAGCCCATGTTGTCCAAGATACTTTCTTATATTGGTAATTAATGTGGGAAACATACCTGTTTGCAACTTTGGTGATTCAACACCAGAGTTTGCATTATGTGATAGACTGAAGCATATTTTATCAGGACTTTCCTTGCCAAATATAACACACAATTTGCGATAGCCAGGCAAGGTCTTAACTTTGATTGATCCCGCTTCAGGGTGTGCCTGTACAAAATTGTATGTTAACCACAGAACAACCCAGACACTTGATAAATTAATGTGCAAAACAGGTTACCTTTATATAAGCATCCCAAACATGATCCGCTGCAACAACCATTTCCGTTATGTCATCCCAGGAAAATCCACTGTGCCGAAGAATATTGAATACATCATAGAACTGTTTCCTCAAATTTTTGTAGCGACTCTTCAGAACATCTTTGTCATATTGAGACTTAAATTGTTTATTGAAAGAGTTAAGTATATCATTCCAAGCCTTGCTAATGAATGTCTGACCAAGTTTATTTCCATTTTTCACCTGCTCTAATAACAAGTCAATGAGGCAACGATCCATTGGAGGTGTCCAATATGTTCTAGTACGATCAGTAACACTTGGGTTACGGTTTCCTTCTCTGTCACCTTCAGATAGATACATAAAGATGAGGTCAATTCTCAGTTCTCCAAAGATCTTATGGCCTCAAATATGAACTGTGTAACATGTCATACGACTTAAAAAAATTAATCATCATTCTTTAAAGAAGTGCTGGGAAGAATTACCTTACATTTTGTTGCTTCATGTGTTTGTTGTATGGAAATCTTAAGGACATGTTCTGTATGTGGACATTCTAATTTCCCAAGTACTTGGGAACTTGTATTGTATGATACCGGAGTACAAGTTCTGTTTAATATTTTAAATCCCTGTATTAATAACACACATAACTAGCATGGGGATATAACACCCAGATATCATATATATAGTCTTCCAAGTACTTGGCAATATTAGACTGTCCTCTTATTCGACGCCTCCTAAATTCCAAGTATCTTCTTGGAAACCTAATTGAGTCTAAGATATATGGAAATTCAAGACCCCTTATGACAATTGAAAAAAGGGCATGTTGGATTTCCATATATTTCATAACCAGATATCTTATGCCTAGATATTTGATATAATTGGGAGTAGGGAATTTATAATTCTTACGTATCAAATGCCTTCACTTTCTTTTCATGCAGCAAAAGATCCGGTGAACATTTAAAGTGAGGATTACAGAAGATAAAAAAAACATGCACAACTAATTTAGAAGTACCATTTCTTTGATGTTTCTGTATTCAACTACAGCCACAGACAAAGTTTACTTGTTAATTTTCCATTGGTGTTGCCGTGACCATTATAGACAAGTTGTTAATTTTCTCAAAATCATGCATGACAATAACATAATAACTTGAAGTAGATAACAGAAAGCTGTTAGTTGCAGTATACTGACCAGCCTTTATTACCGATGCTACATCTCCGTAGTATTTCTCCGGATACAAATCACTGAATTCAAGATCAGACAAATTTCTGAATATTAATTCCAAATCTTGATAGTTTGGAAAAGTCTTCAATCTATACCATCGTGCATGTGGATGTTGCTACAAGAAGATAATTTAAGTCAGTCAGCCACAAGAAACATGGATACGAGCATATACACACAGTCTCTTTAAGATCACAAATACCTTGACATAAGCATCCCATTCATCATCATCAGCTGCAAGCATTTGTTGTTGTGTATCCCATGAAAAGCCTGGTGTTTTTAGAATCTTTGTTATAACAAAGTAATATTTCATAAGTTTCCTGAATCGATGCCTTAAAATCCGTTTAGTATGTTGAGGGCCAAACTTAGCATTAAACATGGCTAGCATTTCTGTCCAAGCCTTTCTATTGAATTCATTATTCACTGTATTGCCTCGGTCCAACTGGTCAAGCAAAAGCTCTATGAAATATTGGTCCATGGCAGCAGTCCATTCTGTCCTTGAACCATTGCTCTGATACCATAAATGTAACACCCTGTATATATCCGGTAATGTTATCATACTATCGTATTAAGCAACGCTTAATTAAAAATGCGGAATAACTTTTTCTTTTCAATTATGAAGTCATTATCATTACCAACTTGCTTATTAATCAATTAATAAAACATCGCCTGTATGCAATTGCAATAAAACAGCTAACTGAAATACCTCATTAATTAAAATAACATAATGTATGACTCTAGTCACGGAACTACAACACGTAGACCGGACCAACTATCAGTTTATACAACTCAACTCAAAAGTACTAACTGTAATACACAGGTCCTCTAATGGTGTTTTTCTCACACAGAAGATACACACACAATACTCTGAATATACCTCTATTATATTACTGATTCTACCAAGTGCTACTTTACAAGAGTTGCAATGTGCTTTTTATAAGCAACAGCAAATGATTAAGAATAATAATGACTAACATAGGAAATCTAAACATATTAAATATCCACCAACATATGCCTAGAGCCACACCATAAACAAAACCCTTCATATTTCTATTTTCTTTTATTTAAATTAAAGATTAACCTAACAAAACTCCCCCTTAATCTTTAATATCTCTACCGTCCTTCATGTTCATCTTCTTCTTGCAATTTTCTAACAACAACGTTGGCAGGGGCTTTGTGAAAATATCTCCAACTTGATCTTGGCTTGCAACATGATTTAGCTCCACTTTTCCTTCTTTAACTTGATCCCGGATGAAATGGAATCTGACATCAATATGCTTACTTCTTTCATGATTGATCGGGTTCTTTGCTAACTCGATTGCGGACTTGTTGTCAACTCGAATCTCGGTTGGGCCGTCTTGCTCTTGCTCCAGCTTGCTTAGTAAATTCCTCAGCTATATTGCATGGCAAACACACCAAGATGCCGCAACATACTCGGCTTCACATGTAGACAGGGTCACAATGGGTTCCTTCTTCGACACCCAAGTAAACGCCGTGTTTCCCATGAAGAACACATAGCCAGCCGTGCTCTTCCTATCATCAACATCTCCGCACCAATCACTATCTGAATAACCCGTTAGTTTGTATTTGTCCGACTTCGAGTAATGAAGTCCTTGTGAGATTGTTCCCTTCACATATCTCAGAATTCTCTTAGCCGCCTTCCAGTGAGTGTACCGGGTCTTCCATAAATCGACTTATGATCCCAACACTCAGACACAGATCTGGCCTTGTACATGTTAAATATCTCAGACTTCCAACTAGACTCCGGTAAATACTCGGATCAACTCTCTCTCCATCATATTTTGAGAGTTTCAAATCGGGTTCCATTGGCGTTGAAACCGGGTTGCAATCACTCATTTTGAACTTCTCTAAAATTCCTTTTGCATAGGCTTCCTGAGAGACGAAGATCCCGGATTCATCTTGTCTAACCTCCAAACCAAGAAAATATCTCATCAGACCGAGATCCGTCATCTCGAACTCCTTCGTCATTTTCTTTTTAAAATTTTGAATCATTCCTTCATCATTACCCAAGAAAATCAGATCATCAACATATAGAGAAACAAGTAGAATTTTACCTTCTTTCTTCTTCACGTAGAGTGCATGTTCATATGGACATTGCTCAAATCCATCATTCTTAAAGTAATTATCAATCCCCGTGTTCCAGGCTCTTGGGGCCTGCTTCAAACCATATAATGCTTTCTTTAATCTCAACACTTTTCTTTCTTGTCCGGCTTTCATGAACCCCGGAGGTTGTTCGAGATAGACTTCTTCCTCGAGTACTCCATTCAAAAATGCCGACTTTACGTCCATTTGATAGATCGGCCATCCAAATTGGGCTGCTTGAGAAATCAACAGCCGTATTGTTTCCATTCTCGCTACGGGTGCAAACACCTCGTCAAAGTCTACTCCAGCTTTCTGCTTATACCCTTTCGCCACTAGCCGGGCTTTGAATCTCTCTATCTCCCCTTTAGCATTCATTTTCTTCTTGTAGACCCATTTTACACCAATTGGCCGACTTCCCTTAGGTAGCTCGGCTAACTCCCACGTCTTGTTCTTTTCTATCGCCTTCATTTCCTCCTCCATGGCAGATAGCCATTTCTCATCTCGGACAGCTTCCTCGAAGCTCAACTCCTCAGAATCTGCTAACAAACATACCAGGTGTGCTTCATTGGTTGAGTCATATAAATCTTGTAGGCTTCTCAATCTCGGTTGTCTTTGCTCTTCATCACTATCAGAGTCATTCGGATTCTCTGGAATCCGAGTCGAATGTTGTCCGACCTCAATTGATATGTGTCTGGGTTCCACCCCGGATGGACTACTCCAGTCCCATCCATCTTCCTCATTTACTTTCACATCTCGGCTCACCAACACCTTTTTACTGACGGGGTCCAGCAACTTGTACCCCTTCGTCTTCTCATCATAACCAATGAACACGAACTTCTTACTTTTGTCTTCAAGCTTCGTCCTCAACTGATCCGGTATGTGTGCAAACACAACACTCCCAAAAATTTTAAAATGACCCACTGAAGGCTTCAAACCACTCCACGCTTCCTGCGGGGTTTTATCATTCAGACTGGAATGAGCACATCGATTCTGCACGTACACTGCACACTGTACGGCTTCTCCCCAGAACTCCTTTGGCATGTTCTTTGTCTTCAACATAGATCGGACCATATCCAGGATAGTTCGGTTCTTCCTCTCAGCTACTCCATTTTGCTGGGGCGAGTACGGTGCGGTCAGGAACTGCCTTATCCCATGTTCTTCACGATATCTTTTAAATGCTATTGATACATATTCCCCACCTCGGTCTGAACGGGCCGACTTGATGTATCTTCCAGTTGTATTTTCAATCATTACTTTAAACCTCTTAAAGGTATTCAGTACTTCGGATTTTTCTTTCATAAAATAAACCCAAGTATTTCGACTAAAATCATCAATAAATGAGACAAAATATCTTTTTCCACAGAAGGACCCCGGAGTTATGGGTCCATACAGGTCGGTATGAATGAGTTCCAGAGGCTGCTTAGCCTGGTATCTCGCCGTCCTTTGGAATGGGCTCCTTGCATGTTTTCCCAATACGCAGTCCTCACAAAACTTTCCCTCAGAGTTTATCTTCGGCAGTCCCACCACCATGTTCTTCTTCATCATCTCGGTCAGACCACCATAATGAAGGTGTCCAAACCGTCTATGCCACAAATCCATCTTATCTTCTACCCCGGCTTGGAGACAGCTAACCTCCAAGCTCCTCACTTTCAGTTTGTACATCCTATTCTTTTCCATTTGAACTCGGGCTGTCAACCGCCCTTGCTTATCTTTCAACAGTAAAACTCGATCTGTTATTAGAACCGAGTATCCTTTCTCCATCAGTTGTCCAATGCTCAATATGTTACTATTGAGCTCGGGCACATAATACACATCCTGAATTGTACCAACTCGTCCGTCTTTTTGTAGAAAACATATCGTACCACGGCCTTTTACATCAATTTTGGACGTCTCTCCGAAAGAGACATGTTCGGCTTCCACCGTCCTCAATTCTTTGAACAAATGTTTGTAACCACACATGTGATTACTGGCACCGGTATCCAAATACCACTCTTCAAACTCGTCTCACCTTGTGCCAACATCAGAACTCCTTCATCTCTTATTTCTCCTTCTGCAGCAAAATTTGACGTCCCGTCAACTCTCCTTTCATCTCGGCAATCCTTCGCGAAATGTCCAACTCGGCCACAGTTGTAGCATTTGTTCGAGTTGCAGTCCTTTGAAAAATGGCCATACTTGCCACACTTATAACACTCTACACTACTTTGATTTGACCACCGACCTCTTCCACCACGGCCACGTCCTCTACCTCTCCAGTTTTGCTGATTCATCTCAGCTCTTTCTTCATGTTTCACCTCTTAACCTTGGCCTCGACCACCTCGGCCGTTTCCACGTCCAGCTCGTCCACGACCTCTACCTCGGACGTTCTGAGAATAGAGCGCCTTCTCATCCTTAATGGTTGCTTTTGACTGGAGTGCTTGCTCCAGCGACTCCTCCTTTTTCTTCTTCTTGCGCTGCTCATGCGCCTCAAAGGAACCTGCTAGCTCGTCAACAGAGAGCGTAGACAAGTTCTTGGACTCCTCGATTGCACACACCACGTTCTCGAAATCGTCTGTCGACGACCTCAGAATCTTTTCTACTACTCTGGAGTCGGCCAACGTCTCTCCATTCCTCTTTAACTGGTTCACAATGGTCTGATCCCGGGTGATGAAATCTGACACTCCTTCGGTCTCCTTCATTTTCATCCCCTCCAACTCTCCTCGAAGAGTTTGAAGCCTGACCTGCTTCACACGGTCAGCACCTCGGTAGACCGTCTCCAATATATCCCAGGCCTCCTTAGCCGTTGTTGCGCCTCCAATCTTCTCAATACCACCGCACTCTTCAATAGCTTGAAGCATCATAAACAGTGCCGCTGAATCCTTCGATTTTGACAAACTCAACTGCTTGAGTTGGTTTGCTGAGTATCCTTCTGTTGTTTCAGGTTCTACGAACCCATTTTGCACCAAATTCCAACTATCACACGCTCTTAGGAGAGCCTTCATTTGGATGCTCCAATTCTCATAGTTGCCCTTTTTCAGGCGGGGCACTGGCAGACCATTACTCACACCTTCCATTGATATCAAGCTTTGATACCAATTTGTAATACACAGGTCCTCTAATGGTGTTTTTCTCACACACAAGATACACACACAATACTCTGAATATACCTCTATTATATTACTGATTCTGCCAAGTGCTACTTTACAATAGTTACAATGTGCTTTTTATAAGCAACAACAAATGATTAAGAATAATAATGACTAACATAGGAAATCTAAACATATTAAATATCCACCAATATATGCCTAGAGCCACACCATAAACAAAACCCTTCATATTTCTATTTTCTTTTATTTAAATTAAAGATTAACCTAACACTAACAACATAGTGGCATGGAC